TAAACACTAATGGTTTTGTTATAATTTTAGTTTGCTATCTGTTTGAACTCGATAATATAAAATAATTTAAATATAATAAACATTCAAATAAGTAAATAGCCGATGATTTATGAATATTTGTTTTGTTTTTCCACAAGATACTATCTAATGTGTTTTATATATATATATATATATATATATATATATATATATATATATATATATATATATATATATATACACAGTAAAAATGACAATTCCTCATGCCAGAAATTCAAAAAGAATCTTAGTTAATATTTAGTCATTGAAAATTTGCTTAATCAAAGTTTTGATAACAGGAGTATAAGATGAAAAGCAAAGAAAATAGTGCACACTCTTTAAATTCGATACCCAATGAATCTGTCATGTGTTGTCTCAGAGCCATAATTATTTCTTTATATCGATTAAACACACACACACACACACACACACACACACACACACACACACACACACACACACACACTTTCGAGCCTAACTTCTTACGTCTTAAATGTTAAGCCATAGAGAGAAATGAGACGTGAGAGTAAAATCAACGTTTTGAAATCATTGGGAAATGATCTTGGTTATATAGATTATACTTTAAAGATCTATCTATGGTATTACAAGTTTTAAAAAGAATTCTGGAGATACTTCCAAAATTTAAGCTAAAGCTTTCGATTGCAATTACTTATTTCAATTTTGTTGTATATCTTTTTACATGGTACAACATTTAATATTACAAGCAATTTACTAAACTAACAGATTCAGCTTCAAGATAACAGTGACTAATAATTATTTTGTGGACTGCAGGTGGGTTGAAGGCTTTCAAATTTTTTTTTACAAATGCTAACGAGATTGCAAAGGAAACAGAGATATTACCAAAGAAAGGATAAGTTAGAGACAAGAAAAAATAGCCACTTGAGTAGGAGGCACCACAAGATCCAAATTAAATGATTTTTTGTTTGTTTTCTACGGTTTATCAACCCTTTGCTAGTTATTTAAAACCAGAAAATATTTTTAGATTAGAGGAATATTTTTGAGATAAATGACTTTAGTGATACAAATCTTACTAATTAACCCATAGATGATGAGAAGTCGATTAATTCCTTTCCCAATAGTATTTATGCGTAAGTGACACTAATAATGATTTTAAACGCACATTAGCATATCTAGTACCAATGACCGTCACTGACTAATGGACATACCAAACATATTCTTGACTGGTCTCTAGAGCCATTTTCATTGACAAATTGTCTGATCTCATTTGATAGTCTTTCAATATTGGTATTCATGAGATCGAACTGGTACATCTGTGGTCTGACTTTCAGGCTCATTATTTGGCACTGACAATGTACGAGGTTGCAGTAGCCTTGCCTTGAGTGGAAAATAATCTGGCATCGATCCTTTATACATATTTATGAATGTTTGCTTTAATTGTACATACTACCACTTACCAGTGTTGAGATTTCAGAACGACTAAAATAAATGCCATGTGGTAAAAATTATTTCTAAAAGGATGTCGGTCAACTGAAAAATTACCAATCTTTCTCAGTGATAATTTTGAATACATTTAACCATTTGAACCGTATCCGACACCAGAGAATAAAAAGTTAGGTTTTTATTTATTAAACATTTAAATGAAACTATTGTCACATACAATAAGTTATTACATTTATATTTCATTGAAACAAATGTTATTATGAAACAGAGGTTGTATGGTTTTTCAAATATGAATCTCCGAGAGGAGAAGAACAAGGAGTTAACTGGATTAAGTATTGAAGGTATGTAAATTAAAATGTCTGCAGTATAAAAAAATACATTTTATAATTCGTGAAAAATTAACGTCAGAATCTGACTCGGTATCTGATCAGTTTGATAGCCTTTAAATAGGTACTTCCACGAGATAGCTAAAAAAAAATAAAATAAATAAAATAAAAACAGAGCATAGCATGATGAAAAAGACGCTAACCTTGACGAAAACAAAATTTTATCGTCTAAATGTTTATGTTATTATTAAGAGGAAAGATCAAAGTTTATTTTAATTATTTTTTTAAAAATCTTTCCTTTTTAGAACAATCTGAATTTTCATTTAAAAATCCTTGTTTCTTTTTGTATCACCAGAACTAGTAAAATAACATACAATTTTTAGCACGGTTCTATTTATTTTTTTGTATGACACACATTAATTTGGAAAATCTTGCAAAAATAAAAATAATTGTCGGATGTGAATGAAACTTTCAGAAACTATTCACAGATAATCGAAATTATAAATATTTTGTCTTTTATTAAAGTCATGGCAGAAATTTCTTTTTTATATTTATTAACCCCCCCCTCTACTAATTTTATGAAAACGCTAGAAATTTAGTAATTACAATAGTTAAAGCACGAGGCTTTGAGGAATGAAAATCATGTTTTTTTTTTCATTTTTATTTGGACCCCCTACCTGAAAATCAGCTCTGAATTGTGACGTACAAAACTCAATAAAACAAAGATATTATTTAATTTCAAATACTTTTATTTGTTTTTATGAATATGGACAATATTTTCTGAAAGCAAAATATTTTTTCGATGAAAAATGAATTTTTAATACAATTATTTGTTATTTTTTTAATCATAGATTTTTACATTTAAGTTGTTAAAATATCATAAAATTAGTTAAAAGCCGCATCCACTTTCATAAGTGTCCTTATGAGAGATCTTTTTTTAGCGCGTTGTAAATTGTATCGTTTTGACTAATCAGAAGATCCGCAGTAATTAAGAAATGTAATTTTGTGTTTATAATTGGGCTGTAATTATAAAGTACGGAAGACCAACCTGAATACAATTAAGTTGCGTTATTTGAGTTAAGCATTGTTCTCCGCTGTTAAGGCCTTTACTTTTGCGAAACACATGTGGAGAAGTTTATTTGACTTTTCAATTTCAACTGAGAAGGGTACCTAAAATTATCAGTATCATCTTATGAAATTTATATGATCTTATTTTTATATTAATCTCAGTTATGGCATTTTTTCCATAAATGAAATATCAAAATTAATAATAAAATGAATATAAATACAAATAACACAGTAAAATGTGGTAAATGTACATAAAATTATAGTATTTTATGTACACTTCTGATAAAATTTCATAAGAAAATAAATAAATTAGATACCTTTCTTATGAAAATAAATAAATTAGATACCTTTCTTATGAAATTTAATCTACCTCTCAACAGTCTCATTTTAATTTCTTTATAATATATTTTCCATAAAGCATCGTAAACGTAAAGATGAAAGCTAAGTACAAAAAAAAAAAAAAAATTAGAGCGCTGAAAGTTTTCCTTAAAAATAATGAGGTAAATAATTTGTTCACTTAAATGTAAATAATTTCACTTCCGTAGAACAAATTATCCTCACGGAATCCGTCAATATGTCATTCATCACCCGTCAAGTGACGCGAAAGGTTATGACCTGCTTTGTTTTATTTTCAAATTACATCTTTTTGGCACAAAAGCTAAGTTAAGCTTGGTTCAAAATATTTTAAATAAACATTATAATTTCTGATTTTCTTAAAATAAGTTTTGAAAAAATGATAATTGATATTTAAAAGAATTTCAAACTGAGATTTTCATTCTTTTTATAAAATGGAAAAAAATTGGCTGCCATCTGTCAATTTTGCTGACTGCAAAAAAAACAAGATTTTTAACGAAAATTTCGGAAGTGCTAGGAACGATTAAAAAAGTAAAAAAATACCCCCAAAATACTCTGATCTTTCCTCTTAATAATAACAAACATTTAGACGATAAAATTTTGTTTTCGTCTAGTTTGGCGTCTTTTTCATCATGCTATACTCTTTTTTTAGCGATCTCGTGGAGGTACCTATGCTAACCCGTTTGTGATCTTTAGAGCCTCTGAGTGCATATTTGAGGAGACCCATCTGGTTGTCAGCGACTATGAGGATATTCTGTCGAAGAGGTTTCACCTCTACTCAGCTTCTTTTTTTACTGGAAAATCAACACGTCGTTGTTTGAGGTGGGGGGGATTTTCGCGATCAGTTGTTATTAACTCTACAAAAGTAATTGGCGGGAAGCGTGGTTGGGAATAAGTGGTGCGGCCACCTTCAGTCTCTGAAGGTTTATCTTTTATTCTAACCATCGGCTCAATCTAGAAAGATTAGCAGCGCAAACGGCAGCCGAATCATTCCCGATGATGCCGTGAAATCGGGGGATAGCGGAGAAGTAGCCGTAGCTAGGACTGAATTAGCCTCATTGCTTATCAAGAAGGACCAAGTTCTGGTCGTTAAGGTTCGCTTTACACGAATGTCTTCCGAGGTAATAAATATGCCCGCTGAACTGCGGCAAGAGGAATTGTGTAGTGCGTCTGAACGATATATCCCATGCGTCATATTGCTGGGCGGACAACAGGTAAATGAAGGCATCTGAAGCTTTACATTTTTATTTTCAGGGGCTGTTCACCATGGAGTTTGGACAGTCTTGCTCAGTTCACACCTCTTTAGCCGACTTCTATCGTCTTGAAGTGGCGGGAAAGTACAGGGTAGATTACCGAGGCGGAAATCTGGAAAGCGCTGAAACAGGTAAACCGAGATAAGACTTCAGGGATAGATGGTCTTCCCTAATAGGTGTACTTGAGGCAGTCGCCTGTCTTTGGTCTTCTGATGGCACTGATGTTTAATCATCGATTGAAGAATGGGAATATAGCCCAACGCTTCATCAAAGGTGTCATCAAGTTGCTGAGCAAGAATAAAAAAGACAAGGATGAGATAGGTAAACTCTCTTGTATGAATCCCCGGAGGCATTGGTGGAGGTAAATATAATGAGGTCGGAGCCTTTTATCGGGAATGTCGTAATGCGCTGTGCTACCTCATTATGAGTGAAGGATCGCCTCGTCGACACCCAGGCGTTGTATCAAGTGCTTGTGAGTGTGGGGGTCTTCTACAGATGATCTCATTTACGAGCTCGGCTTTATGAAACGGGAGTACCGCTTCATTTAGTTTTGAGACTAACGACCATATCCCATTGAAACCGGTTCCAGTAGGATCACCGAACTTAAGCAACGCCGAGCCTGGGCAGTACCTAGATGGGTGACAGCTTGGGAATACCAGGTGCTGTAAGCTTGAATGTGCGGGTTTTGTAATGAATAATGGCTTGGAATTGTTAATCGGAGAGCTAAGTTCCAATTGGGTTCGTTATATTCACTTAAGCTCAAATACTCTTAAGAAATATAAATCTATCTCTTCTTTCCACAGCTATGGGTTAATTAATAAGACTTGTATCACTAAACTATTTTCTCGAAAAATATTCTTACAATCTAAAAATACTTTCTGGCTTTAAATAACCCACAAAGGGTTGATAAGCCGAAGAAAACAATTCAGTGTTTGAATTACTATCCCCGTTTTAAAAGAAAAAAGATGAAACAGATTTTAACTGAATGTTCTTAGCACCTATAAGACATAAATCCAACAAAGAAACCAACATGAGAAAACTATTTGAAAATAATGAAATCGTCAACATAATATCGTACCATAAAGAAATAGGTTCATATCAACATGTAGGGGGGGATAACATGCTGAACAGTTAATTCGTAACGAAAACCGGCCGATCACGAAGGGGAGGGGATTCTCCCCAATCTAAAAAAATAGTTTGCCTCTCCATAGTGAAAATGCTGCAAACTAATTTTCGTATGCAAATTCTTACTCGTGCCCCCATTGACTTAAAGGCCCCCTCCCTCCAAGCATTCTAGTGACAGGCCTGAATGAAGTGACCTTACGACGTATTAAAATGTTAGCGAAACATTTGACAGGTAATGAATGGGAAAAAATGATCATTAAGTATTCTAGTAAAGTATGCTAATCATTTTTGTTTTTTAACCGGTCTAGGTCTTTAGTAACGTACTGTAAGTAGATGCTAACAGGAAGTATTTTGCTTTTGATAGAGACTCAAATGTCCCGCTTCCGGTTCGACTAATCCATTATCTTCAGTAGGGGTGTTTACCAGTTTAATTAGTTTTCTAAACTTCATTTGAATTTTTTTTTAATCGCGAAATTAACAATAGCCGTTAAAAAGAAGGAAAACATTTTCAAGTATCAATTTGAGTTTTATTTTCAGAAATCGATATTCTCTAAAATTATTCTCGAAATTAAAAAATCTTTTTTTTTTTTTTTTTAAGTGTTCGTAAGGAGAAATAGCATCGTCCCACTTGGATTTTCGAATTTATTTCTGACTTGTTAACTACTGAAAACCAAGAGATTTTATATGATGTTATATTAGTGAATTATCTCATTAGCCGTTTCAGGAACAAAAAGAAAATAACTCGTGAGATGTATTGCTAGTCGTTCCCAAATGGATAATGCAAAGTATTGCAAAATTAATCAAAGCATTTAAGAATTTTAACATGCATACAATATCTGTTGATTGAAAAAGTTCCACGTAATGTCAGTAGTCGGTGTTCGAGTAAAGGATTTCGAATGCTGATTTTCTAGGCAGGCAGCCCTCTTCAGGTCGAAGACTGGCAAACGTTATTTTCCTCTCCCCCAACATACCACCCTTTTAGGTATGCAATCCGTTCGTTTACACAAAATGAATTTATTCAGTTTCAAGACGTCTTTTAGGGTTCTCATATCATGTAAAATATTGATTATTTACGAAACCTGTCTTCGCAGAGGAAATGGAGGCCAGAAACGAGTGTGTTGTGTGCCATTCTTTCAAATGAGGAAGGATAGCCTACTTTGAAAATCGGTATTCAAAACTATGGTTTTCATTCTAGCTCAAACACTGACCACTGGAGGTGGGTTTATTATTTCAGTATATCTCTTTTTTGATAACCAGTATGATTTAGGGGGTTTCCGGGGCTTATATTGAAACAATGAATGAACTTTGTTGTTTCGAAGATCATAAGGGTATTCTGAAGGATCCATCATGTTATCACTTGGGTAAAGTGGTTACATTGTATTAACTCCCCAACGAATACAAGACGTATAATATTGGATTATATAGTACCGACAACAGGCTGAATAACCGATCTAACTGCGATTATTATCTATGAACTTGTAAGACAGAAGTTACTTGGCGATATCCTCGTTAAGTAACAAAAAGCCAATTCTACTAACTTATATAGTACTACTAACATAATAATACCTAATTTCACTATAGTCTGTGGAAGGTAATAATTAGGGAGCTTTTCTATGTCGTTATTACTTATGAGTAGCGAATTCGATCCACACTGAGTGCTCCATACTTGTAGCCCTATGACAAATTAAGATAATTTTAATAAATTACAACTAGTGTGGTAGGTTGTGAGAAGATTTGGCGCTGGGACACAGATTAGGGAGAAGTACATCCATGACCTACCCCAAGCTATTAGTGGAAAGTGAAAACACTAAGTATTACCCGGAATTTAAACACCTTTCTCCGATTCCGTTCTGCGCACCTGATAATCATAACGTCACTTTGAAACTGATTTATTGAATTGTAATAAAAATGATTTTAAAAAGCTAATGATCATTTTTCGGAGTGGAGGCAAATAAGATTTTGATTTACGAATCGACGAAATTACGCATCTCGCAGCTGTTCTGCAACTTCATTGCTTGTCACTCATTGTAAAATTTATTGAAGGTTTCATTGATGTAGTAAATAAATTATAGAAAGGGGTTAAATCTTATAAACGATGAAGAAAACAGAACGAAAGAGAAAAGGAGACGAAGAAGAAAACGAAAAGGAAGAAAAGAAAAAATGAAAAAGGGATTAAAAGGTGGAGAAGAAAAATAAAAACGAATAAGAAAAAATGAGAAATAAAACAAACCAGAAAAAGAAAGAAAGAAGAGAAAAAAGAAAGGATGAAAATTTAAAGAAAACGGATAAAGACGAAGAAAAGAAAAGAAAAAGCGAAAAGAAAGGAAGGAAAGAAACGAAGTAAAGAGAAAAAAACGACGAAAATGGAAAAGATACGGAGAAGAAAAGAGAAAAACGAATAATAGCGAAGGAACGAAACTAGAAAAAAAGAGAAAAAGAAAAAAAATGAAACAAGAGAAAATAGAGAAAAAATAAGAAAGTGAAAAGAAAATACAGGAAAAAAAGATGAAAGAAAGAGAAAAACGATGAAAAAAGGAAAAACTGATACAAGGAAAATAGCAAATAGAGAAGAAAAAAGAAAAAGAAAATGAATGAAAGAAAGATTGAATGAAAGAAAAGGAATAAAATAAAGGAAAATTGGGCAGTCATCTTGGCCTATTTTTCTATCTTTTTCGTGTTAAAACGAGAGACTAGATCCTTTTTCTTCTTTTTATTTTATAGTCCAAGGACAAAGGAAGTATAAGAATTTGTAAGAGTAGTCTCCTTGTATATGCCGTGTTCCTTCAGGGCGTTGGCGATCATGGCTCTCCACAATTTCCTGTCCTTCGTAGCTCTTAACAAATTTTGTCTTTTTGTCATCTCTCCTAAACGTTATTCCGCAATCCATTTACTCAAGCTCGCTAGGTAGGTTATGTGTTTTCTTGCCCCTCTTGCCTTCAATCTGTCTTGTAAGTATCAAATTTTCCTAGCCCTCTTTCCTTGTTATGTGCTTTAGAAATTTCAACTTTTTTCCTATTTCTCCTTTTCCCATTTAACCTGATGCTGTACAATGCCAAACTTAAGCATTCAAGAACGATTGGTTTGGTATGGCGCAATGGTTAACAAGTTAGCCTCACAAACCATTATAATTTCAGTGAATTTGTTTCTTATTGGGCGACCCACTCTAAGTTTAGTAGATATCAGTAACATGAAAAGATTATTGTGACGGAAGAACGGAGGAAGGAAGACGTGAAAAGGAGCAAGAGATGTAAAGGAAAGCGTGTGCAAGAGAGAGGAGAGAAAAGAAAGAATAAAGAAAATAATGAAGAAGAGGGGGTGATTAGGAGTAGGAAGATTAAGCATATGAGTGATGATTAAGAAGCAAAGTGAAAGAAGTGAAGTTGTATTCGAAAACCGGAGATGAAATAAATTAAATAGGAAGGGTGAGATTGAAATGTGAAAAGGAGAGAGAAGTTTAAAAAAAAAATGGCGGCCAGAAAGGAATAAAATTGCTAGGAAATTAGAGAAATGAAAGGAAAGACATCAGCGCCAGATTTAGGCACCAGCTTAGTGCCTAACACTCCACAGAGGGTATTGGCCTCAAAAACGTTTCTAACCATCTGACGTAATTTTTTTTTTTTAAACAAGTTGCCCTCTATCTTTATATAGCTTCGGACTTTAACAAGTCTAACACCAACACAGAAGCACATAAAAAATGGGACAAGAAAGCGATGAAAAAGTAAAAATAAAAAAAAGGTTAAGCGGAAAAAGAAATATAAAAAAAATGAAAAGGAATAAAAAAGAAATGAAGAAAAAGAAACAATGGAAAAAAAGAAAGAGAAAATGAAACGTAGAAAAACTTAAAGAACAAATATAACGGGGGATAAAAAAAGAAAAGATAGAAGGAAAAGAAAGAGGAAATCAAAGACACGGGGAAGAGAATAAGAAACAAAGGAAAAAAAATAAAGAAGGAAAAGAAAAATACGCACAAAAAAAAGATACAAAGAAATAGAATAGCAATAAAAAAAAAAAAAAAAGAGTAGAGGAAAATGCTAGGGAAACGATGAAAATAAAAAAGTAGAAAATAAGAAAGACCGAACGATAAATAAAAAAAGAAAGAGAAAAATAGAAAGAAAACAGGAAAAAAAGCAAGAGTGAAAGGAAATGAGGGAGGTCAAAGAAAATGAAGAGAAAGAGAGTAAGACAAGAGTCTTCATTCCTACGCTCTTTGTCTTCATGCACACACACACATTCACCGTATATTAGACAGGAGGAGAGAACGAAAGCCTGTCGCAAGAAAGTCATACTATCATCATGTTTTGTGTGACTTTTTTTTATGGTGGTACATATCGTGTTACTGTTTATGATGACACAAGCTTCTATTTTACCGGCTGCAAGACACAACCTCAGATGACAACTTATGTTCTACAGACAATAAAACCCACCACGAGAAGGCAAATCTTTAATAATCCGTTGAAAACAAGACCAATTATGTCAACTAGGTCTTTTTTTTTCTTTTTCTTTTTTTGCCTTTTGAACAACAACCCCGTCGATGGTTGATACCTAGCTGATCGCTATACAATAGAGTCTTTCAATAAATTTATCCGCCTGGGAATTAAACCTGATCTAAAATTCAATTCTTTTATTTTGTACTTCATTATTGCTTGCTTTACACTGCGTGTTAAGTTAAATATGTTTAGTTAAGGGAATTTAAAAAAAAAAAAAAAAAAGACACTCGGGGATTTTTTTCAGATTTTACCCGTGTGACAATACAGATATGCGGTGTCAGAGAAAAAAAGTAAATGAATGAATTCTTTTCCCCATTGATAAATTATGCTTACGTTTGATACGAGACTCCGAAATTTTTAAAATCTTCGTTGACATATTGTATATATGTCCATGAATGTGAGGGTAGTATAACGGTTAGCGGATCGGAAAAAAGAAATCGACCGAGTTCATTACGTTCACTTTGCAACCTTGAGAAAAGATATAAATCAATCTCTTCTACCCGAAGCTTAAAAAAAAAGAAAAAAAAAGAAGGGGCTCCGTTAGGTTGATTTTCCCTAGACACAACACTGCTGCAATGACTGCAGTACATATGGTTCCACTACTACCCTAATGGCTTACAGCAGTGGCCTCCAACGCTTTTTTATACCACAGACCGGCTTCATGCCGCACAATCTTTCCGCAGGCTGGTAGTGGCACATATGTGTAATTTAAGTGCATTTCAATAAAGAGAGCAATAATTTTAAAAAAAAAAAAAAAGAGCAATTCATGAAAGTAATTATTCAGTAACATTTGCTTTTGGGTCATTGTACTGAAATTCTTTAAAATCTGAAAATTAGTTGGGATTAAAAAATTAGTTGAAAATAATTACAAATAAATAAAAATATATATTAATTGTAAAATGTACTTACAGTTATGGTAGATAGTATTGAGTAGATGAATATTGAATATTTAAACAAAATCTTTTTAAATTAATGTTCAATATTCAAATTATTCATTATATAATTTTAAACGTTAATTATTTCTTTGAGGCCCAGTAGCAATTGATCAACGGTCCGCGGCCCGGATTCCTGGTTAACAAGACAAATATAAGTTGATATACGGTGTTGGAAATAATTACAGGACAGTTCACAAATGTAGTTTCTAAATATTAAAGTTTGTTCAAGAACGTAACCAATTACGTGTGTATTGTTATCTGATGGTTTTAAATCTTTGGGTTAGATGGTGAAAGTGAGATACACTAGTAATAGTTAAATCGAAAAAAAAAGGCATCGTAAATACGCATTAACTAGGGGTTAAGCATGGACAGAGGAATTAGAACAATCTACCCCCATAGATTGAAGAAAGTGTCCAGTTTAATTATCCAGAAAGTTATTAATACTACAGACACATGAAGAAAGATCGAAGGTATAACGCCGGAAATGTTTTGAGTATAACAACAATTTCTTGGGTGAGTTTACTTGCTCTGTAGAACTTTGAAAATCTCCTTTTCTCAGTTACTTTGTCCTATTACAGTGTAACCCGGATATAAGAGAGTTGTCGGGACCGGAGAAGAAGTATCTTATATCCGGGTTTCTCTTATATCCGGGTTTCTCTTATATCCGGGTTTCTCTTATATCCGGGTTTGGTCTATTTTGTTTAGGTAAGTATGGGAACACTTTGGGACCAGAGAAAATCTCTCTTATATCCGGGTTTCTCTTATACCAGGGTCTCTTATATCCGGGTTACATTGTATATCTTCCCTTTTTTCTAGTGGAAGTCCATAGACGCTTTTCGTAAAAAGAATGTTTCATAAAGGTTTAATATAATCTGACGTTTCCGCCTGAAATCAGAAATTTTATTCGGTAATTATTTTCTTCTCCTAATAGGAGTACATAGGTTTGCCTATCATCCGGTTCATACTCCTCCCCGGTCTTTTGAACTGTAGATGTTTATCCCTTGTTTCCTGTTTAGGATTGGTTTTCCGGTCCCTTCTAAAGTCTACTTCAACTCTGTGCTTCTAACGTATTCGCTTATTAAATCTTGCCCTCTTCAAGTCTAGAATTAGCTATCTTTCCTGATGAGTTGCTTAGTTGGCACTGAGATGCTATTGAATTAACTTGTGTATTATGTGGCCGTCACGTTCAAAATGACCGCGCGCGTAGATTCTTCACGTCTTATGTAAGGCTCTTTGATAAATCATCGCATCACCTGGTTCTGTCATTCCTGCTACAATCCAAATTTGTCTCCCTGCCAAATAACAAACGTTGTATTTTTTATGAGTCAGTATTTAGAAAGAAGATTCAAATCTTGCAAGACGTATTCCATAATATATAACACAATGTAACTTTTTGATGCGAATGCCGTTAATTTTAAAGAGGTTGCATTTATTTGAAAATGTCATAAGTGTAAGGTTCTCAGTGAGGTTTGAATTTACTACACAGTAATAATGATCAACCAGACTGACTCACTAAGCATTATCCCTAAACAGATCTTATTTTGGCCCAAGAGCAAAGGTATGGGACATCCGATGAGAATCGAGTTTACTACTCACTAGTAACAATCAGCAGAATAACCTGGTTAACCATCATCTTATTCTAAAGCAGGAACCTCTGCACTGAAGTGATCTCGTTATTTACTGAGCATAGCCTAGATTTGACAGAATTATATGAGCATATGGCAAATCGTAAGGATTGAACTTATAATCATGACTAGGTACCCAAAGCTAAATGATTATTTGAGTTAGAAAGGGATAGCATTTTTATAATAGAAGTTTTACACGACCAATATAATGACAAACATTTAATCTTAGTAGATTATGGTTAATTCAATACACTTTTGCCAGTGTCTAACGACATCATTTACGATTACATTATCAAAATCATTATTTCTGGAATCATTAAATTCTTGAAACGTTTCTTCTGTAACTGCTTTAAAAAACTTAAGAAAATTCTCCTAGTGCTTAAAAAATAAAATATATGGTATTGTCTGAAAACATCGTTGAATTATTTAAACAAGAATCGATTCTTGAGAAAATAATTTAATGATGTTGCAACATTTTGTGTATAAAAGGAGAATAATTTAAGGTTAAAGGTTAACAAAGACAGTGCGACTATGATGTATTGACCTGAAGACAACCGAAGTGACCTCAACCAGTACAATCCTCTACGGAACAACGTCCGTAA